ATAGATTCGACCTCTGAGCGGAACTATTTGACCGTTCACAGTACGTGCTGAACTTCGAAGGGGGGATATATTTTACGATTTCTCAAGCTTGGAAAGTTTCGCATGAAACTTCTTGAAATAACTGAAATTTCGGCTCCCGTGTCTACCAATGCCCAAACATATCTATCATCTAATCCCACTTTAATCAAGCTGCTACTATAGATATCGGTTGATATTGAACACAAAAGAGGGCTTTCTACCATTTTTTCCCCATGGCTAGTTGGTCTATTTTCCGCCCTTCCTAAAATAGACTGTTTGGGTTGAAATTGCCCCCCTGTTTTTCGTTGTCACAATTTCTAGCAATATGGCCTTTCGCCCCACAACTATAACAAATTATATCTTTCAAATCCCCTTTTTGTGCCCCTCCCCGACATTCTCTTGCCCTATGACCTCTTTTGCCACAATTATAACAATTTCCACTGAAATAATTTCCACGGCTGGCTGCTGAATGACCCTGCTTATTACAAATGCCACATATCGGAATTGTATTGAATTTCCTACCCTGGTAAGTCAGGCTTGAACCAACCTGGCCCTCTGGTCCCTAGAACTGCTGCGGTTGTATACGTACTGCGGTCGATGTTGTTGTAATAATTGTTCAGTTTTCTGTGCTAACCTTTCCACACTGAGTTCAATCGCTGATAAATCTGCGCCATTCTTTTTCTTCTCCTCGTCTTGCATATGACAAACTATCTCACTCAGTCTGGCTCTTCGTCGCGCGTCATCAATCATTTGAGGCTGATGCACAATCACCTGACTCTTGATGTCATTCCGTAGCCCGGCGTGAAAATAACGTAATTGTTCTTCGGGCGTTTTACGAAGTCGGGCACAACGCGACTTGATATTTGCTGCGTAATCTTCTACGGATTCGTCGGCCCCCTGTTTTCGCTCAGACAGTTCTTGTTCTAGTACCCAGTCTAAATCGGCGTTTTCAAAATATGCAATAAAGGCTGCCGTCAAAGCTTCATAATCATCTCTTACTTGGGCTGGCAATTCATTTACCCACATCTCGGCTGGGCCAGTCATCAACATCCTGAAACCTGCAGCTTTTCTATCATTCGGCAGTTGGTTAAAGTCTGCATATCATTGAATTTCTGTAACCAGTTTGGCGCATTCTCTGACTGTTTACCTTTAAACGGAGCTGGCACGATTCCCATGTTGACAGGTGTTGGACGATTTTGAAGATCTTCGACAACTTCCTGTATCCCTTCTACTGCCTGTTGTGTCATTCTCTGATCTCCAGCAATAGCTTGTGTCATTTGTCCAAGATGTTCTGTCAAAACTTCACGGATTCCTTCCATTATGTGTGTTTTTTGTCTCGTTATCATACAGTGTTCACAAGGTGATTTTTGTGTTAAACACAGTGCCCAATGGTTATCCACCACGTGTGATAGGTATTTTTGATGTTTAAAAACCTTTCACTTAGGTAACCGGGATTCGATTGTTCTCCACGCTGGACTCACACAAAAACACGCACA